ATCTTTGAGAACGATCCATGTGCTAAGGAGAAAAATGTGTACTCTATAGCTGTTGGATGAAATGTTTGTTAAATATCTATTAGATCCATTTGATCTATAGTGTAGACTGTGTCCAATGTTACTTTGTTGATTTTCTGTCTGGGAGTTCTGTCTAATGCTGAAAGTGGGGTGTTGAAATCTTCAGCTGCTGTTGCATTGAGGTCTGTCTTTGTCTTTAGGTCTAATAATATTTGCTTAATATATCTAGATGTTCTAGTGTTGGGTGCATATCTGTTTATAATCACTATATCTTCTTGCTTAATGGACCCATTTATCATTTTCTTTGTCTCTTCTTAGTTTTTGTCTTGACCTCTGTTTTGTCTGATGTAAGTACTGCTCCTGCTACTCCTGCTGTTTTTTGGTTTCCATTGGCAGGGAATATCTGTTTCCATCTCTTTATTTTCAGTCTGTATATCTTTATAGGTGAAGTGTGTTTCTTTTAGGCAACAGATCATTGGGTCTTGTTTTTTCATCTATTCAGACACTCTATGTCTTGATTGAAAATTTTAGTTTATTTACTTTTGAAGTTATTATTACTGATAAGTAGGGACTTACTCCTGCCATTTCGTTATTTTTCTGGTTGTTTTGCTGTCTTCTTTTTCTTCCTTCCTGTCTTCCTTTCCGTGAAGCTGATTTTCTCTGGTAGCATGCTCTAATTTCTTGCTTTTTTTGTATGTGTATCAATTGTATGTTTTTAGATTTGAGATTACCATGAGGCCTGCAAATAATATTTTATAACCCATTATTTTAAATTGATGACAACACTGATTGCATAAACAACCATGCAAAAAGAAAATAAATACTTTACACTTTCACTTCATCCCCCTGCTTTTTAACTTTTCGTTGTTACTTTTTTTTTTTTTGAGACAGAGTTTCACTCTTGTTGCCCAGGCTGGAGTGCAATGGCAAGACCTCAGCTCATCACAACCTCTGCCTCCTGGGTTCAAGCGATTCTCATGCCTCAGCCTCCCAAGTAGCTGGGATTACAGGCATGCACCACCATGCCCAGCTAATTTTATATTTATAGTAGAGACAGGATTTCTCCATGTTGGTCAGGCTGGTCTCAAACTCCCAACCTCAGGTGATCTGCCCACCTGAGGCTCCCAAAGTGCTGGGATTACAGGCATGAGCCACGGCGCCTGGCCTTATTGTTACTTTGTGTTTTTTGTTGTTGTTGTTGAGACGGAGTTTTGCTCTTGTTACCCAGACTGGAGTGTAATAGCGCAATCTCAGCCCACCACAACCCCTGCCTCTGGGTTCAAGCAATTCTCCTGCCTCAGCCTCCCGAGTAGCTGGGATTACAGGCATGTGCCACCATGCCCGGCTAATTTTTTGTATTTTTAATAGAGATGGGGTTTCTCCATGTTGGTCAGGCTGGTCTCGAACTCCCAACCTCAAGTGATCTGCCTGCCTCGGCCTCCCAAAGTGCTGGGATTACAGGCCTGAGCCACCGCTCCCGACCGTACTTTTTATATCTTATTTTATTGCCTGTCTTGAAAAGTTGTAGTTATTATTTTATTTATTTTTAGTTATTTTTGATTGGTTCCTTGTTTGGCCTTTCTACCTAAGTCAAGAGAAGTTTATATACAGCAATTACAGTGTGATATTATTCTGTGTGCTTACTGTTACCAGTGAGTTTTGTACCTTCAGATGATTTCTTTGTTCTCATTAACATCCTTTTCTTTCAGACTGAAGAACTACCTTTCACATTTCTTATAGGACAGGTCTGGTGTTGATGCAATCCCTCAGTTTTTGTTTATCTGAGAAGGTCTTTATTTCTCCTTCATGCTTAAAGGATATTTTCAGTGAATATACTATTCTAGGGTAAAAAAAATTTTTTTCCTGTCAGTGCTGCAAATATTTCATACTAGTCTCTCTTGGCCTGTAAGGTTTCCACTGAAAAATCTGCCACCTGAGACAGAGTCTTGCTCTTTTACCCCAGTTGGAATGCAGTGGTGTGATCTTGGCTCACTGCAACTTCTGCCTCTCAGGTTCAAGTGATTCTTGTGGTTTAGGCTCCCGAGCAGCTGGAATTACAGCTGTGTGCCACCACCTCTGGCTAATTTTTATATTTTTAGGTGAGATGAGATTTTTCCATGTTGGCCAGACTGGTCTTGAAATCCTGGTCTCAAGTGATCTGCCCACCTCTGCCTCCCAAAGTGCTGAGATTACAGGTGCGAGCCACTACGCCTAGCCAGGATCCTTTCTTTGTACTTGACCTTTGGTAGTTTGATTATTAAATGCCTTGAGGTAGTCTGACGTGAGTTAAATCTGCTTGGTGTTCTATAACCTTTTTGTACTTGAATGTTGAAATATTTCTGACAGTATTCCTTTGAATAAACTGTCTACCCTTATCTCTTTCTCTGCCTCCTCTTTAAGGCCAATAAAACTCCTATATTTGCCCTTTTGAGGCTATTTTCTAGATCTTGTAAGCATGCTTTCATTGTTTTTCATTCTCTTTCCTTTGCGTCCTCTGCATTTTCAAATAGCCTGTCTTCAAGCTCAGTAATTCTTTCTTCTGCTTGATCAGTTCTGCTATTAAGAGACTCTGATGCATTCGTCAGCATGTCCATTCCATTTTTTAGCTCTAGAATTTCTGCTTGATTTTTTCTAATTATTTTGATCTCTTTGTTAAATTTATCTGATAGAATTCTGAATTCCTTCTCTGTGTTATCTTGAATTTCTTTGAGTTTCCTCAACACAGCTATTTTGAATTCTGTATCTGAAAGATCATATATCTCTGGTTCTCCAGGATTGGAACGTGATACCTTATTTAATTCATTTGGTTAGGTCATGTTTTCCTGAGTGGTGGTGATGTGTGTAGATGTTTGTTGGTGTCAGAGCATTGAAGAGTTAGAAAGTTATTATAATCTTCATATTCTGGGCTTGTTTGTGCATGTCCTTCTTCAGAAAGCTTTCCAGGTATTCCACGGGACTTGGGCCCAAAGTCCAGTAATTCTGTGATTTTTGCAGACTCTTAAAAGTACCACCTTGGTGGTCTTGGATAAGATCCGGAAGAATTCTCTAGATTACCAGGCAGAGACTCTTGTTCTTTTCCCTTCCTTTCTTCCAAACAAATGGTCTCTCTCTGTGTGCTGAGCCACCTGGAACTGGAGGTGTGGTGATGCAAGTACCCTTATGGGCATCACCATGGAACTGTGCTGGGTCAGGCCTGAAGCCAACATGGCACTGGGCCTTGCCCAAGGCCCTTTCCTTCATGGTGGCAAGTTCCCCCAGATCCTGAGTGTGTTCAGAGATGCTGTCTGGAAGCCAGGAAATGGAGTAAAAAACCCTGGCAATTTACCTGATATTCTATTTTACTGTGGCTAAGCTGGCACTCAAACCACAGTACAAAAGCCTTCCTGCTCTTCACTCCTCTTTCCATAGGCAGAGGACGCTCTCCCTGTGGCCATTACCACCACCACCTCTGGTCCACACGGGGTTCTGCCAGCCACTGCTGATATTTACTGAAAGCCCAAGGGCTTTTCTGTCACCTTGCAGTAAATGCTGCCAGGCCTTTACCCTTCAGGGAAGTGGGCTTCCCTCTAGCCCAAGGCGAGTCCAGAAATGCTGTCCAAGAGCCAAGGCCTGGACTTGGGGACCCCAAAATCCTGCTTGTTGCTCTACCCTGTTGTGGCCAAACTGGTACCTAGGGTGCAAGACAAAAATCGCCTTTACTTTCCCTCTGCTTTCCTCAAACAGGGGTCTCTCACCATAGCCACTACAGCTGGGAATGTGCTGGGTCACCCCAAAGCCAGCACGTCTCAAGAGTCCAAGACCCAGAGCATACTCCCTGGGTCTTGCCGCTGGTTATTCAGGGCCCAAGGGCTCTTTACTCAGCAAGTGATGAAGGCTGCCAGGACTGCTCCCTTAAGGCAGCAGTTTTCCTTTTGGGCCAGGGTATGTCTAGAAATGTCACCTGGGAGTTAGGGCCTGGAATCAGGACCTCACAATTCTGCCTGGTGCCCTATCCTACCGTGGCTTAGCTGGTATCCAAGATGTAAAACAAAGCCCTCTTTACTTTTTCCTCTCCTTTCCTCAAGAAAGGAATCACTTTCATAGCCGCAAGCTGTACTGCCTGAGGTTGGGGGAGCGGTAGCACAAGCATCCCCTTAGCCTCACCAGCTGGTATCTCCCCTGGTCACCTGCTACCCTAGTTCACTGTCTCTCAGCCCAGCCTAGCACTAGGAGTTGCCTAGGAATTATAGTCCTTCTTTCCTAGACTGCCTTTCAAGTTTACCTAGGGCCCCAGAGCACTTCAGCCCACATGGTGAGGCTTGCGAGGAAATTCAGTACCCATTGCTGGCATGGGCGATTCTCCTCTGGCTAGGGCTGGTTCAAATGCTCCTATGCATGGTCACTGGTGGAGCCCAGCACACCTTTATTCTCTGCTGTGACAGGGCAGCACTGAGTTCAGTGTAAAGTCCCCTAGTCGCTATGCTCCTTCCCCAGAGGTTACAGACTCTCTGTGCTGCAGGTCTGCTGCAAGGGGGTGGGGGAGAGGTGGCATAGGTGATTCAAGACTGTCTCTTTGGCCCTTCTCAATGTCTTTGTAGGTGATATGAAGTTGAAACCAGGTACTGTGAGTGCTCACCTGATGTTTGTTTCTTGTGCTTTTCTGTGTGCAAACAGCTGTTAAAATTTGGTGTTTCAGTGAGGATTGGGGGGGAATGATAAATTTTATTTCTCTTCCCACGTTCTCTTTGTCTCTTTTACCCAGTTCTCACTCTTTGCCTTTAGTCATCAATCCCAGAAGAGAATCTCTGAGTTTCTCTTCCTGTTTTTTCTTTTGTTCAAATGAGTACATAAATATATATTACTTATTTCCCCTTCCTTCTTACCCCAAAGGCATAATCCTGTAGATACTCTTTTATACTTTGCTAACCATAGAATTTTAAAGCTCAATCAGACTTTATTGTTGTAGTTTTGAGATTATTCTTTCTTCATTTTTTTTCTTTTAGACATTAGATCAGCAACAGTTCTTCACAGAGGAAGAACTAAAAGAATATGAAAATATTATTGCTTTACAAGAAAATGAACTTAAGAAGAAGGCAGATGAGCTTCAGAAACAAAAAGAAGAGTTACAACGTCAGCATGATCAACTGGAGGCTCAGAAGCTGGAATATCATCAGGTGGCATTTTGTCAAAAGATTATGGCATTAAAAAAGATTTTAGGTTCTTTGTTAAAAGCCTGTGTTTTTGTAACATTTCAATGTACTATAGTACACTGCTATTGCTATAGTATTTTAAATTTTAATACTTTAAAACTGTTTTGTGGAATATTAATCTAAATTTTATTTTATATTACTTTATTTTATTTTGAGACAGCCTGTCTCCCAGGCTGGAGTACAGTGCTGTGATCATAGTTCACTGCAGCCTCAAACTCCTGGGCTTAAGTGATCCTCCCACGTCAACCTCCCCAGTAGCTAGGACTACAGGTGTATGCCAGTGTTCCTGGCTAATGTTAATATATTTTGTAGAGACCAGGTCTCACTATGTTGCTGAGGCTGGTCTCGAACTCCTGGCCTCAAGTGATCCTCCCACCTCGGCCTCTGAAATTGTTGGGACTATAGGCGTGAGCCACTGCACCTGGTCAAATCTAAATCTTATCGTTTGAATATCTTTGTTTTAGAAAACAATTTGCAGTTACTTTGTTGTGCTTTGTCAAAGGTCACACATATGATAGAAAATCAAGTTATACTTTTAACTTTCGTTTTCCATTCACCAGGTCATACAGCAGATGGAACAAAAAAAATTACAACAAGGAATTCCTCCATCAGGGCCAGCTGGAGAATTGAAGTTTGAGCCACGTATGTAATTTTGTTTGATTATTTATTTAGGAAAATAAATTATTGTATCAATTGAAGTCCACATTTATTACAAATATAATTTCAAGTCATTAAGATAGTATGTTATTTTCTGTGTGTTTTTTCTAGTATTAGAGCAATTTAGATTACAGAAAAATGAAAATGCCTCCAAAAGTTTTATGCAGCAGCAAATTTTAAGTGCTGTATCATTTGTATAATTTGATAACCATATTTATGGTAAAATGATTTATTTCAACATTATTTGTAATTCTTTCTAATTATATTAATCTTACCAGAGAACATGTTTTTAAAAATTGTAATCTATGATTAGCTAAGCATATTTTTTAAAACAAGTATATTTGTATATGAAAGAACATTCAGAATAAAGGAAGATACTTTTAAAATAAGAACTTTTTTTTTTTTCCAACAGACATTTAAAGTCTGAAGTCCACCAGAGCTCGGAAGAAAGCTGTTAACTCAACATCTATTTCATCTTTTTAGCTCCCTTCCTTTTTCTCTGCTCAATAAATATTTTAAAAGCATATTTGAAATAAAGGAAGATACTTTTTAAATGAAAACACTTTTTTGGGGACACAGATATTAAAGGATTGAAGTCTATCAGAACCAGGAAGAAAACAAACTCACTGTCTGCTCTCTGCTCTCACATTCACACGTCTCTTCTATTTTTTTTTTTGTTGTTGTTGTTCTCCTTTAGTGATTTAATTAAGTGGCTTTATGCCATAATTTAGTGAAACTATTAGGAGCTATTTAAGTGAGAAAACTCTGCCTCTTGCTTTTAAATTAGATTGCTCTCACTCATAAACGTAGATATTCTTTTATGGGTGCTTATTCTTTCTTTCAATAAATATTTCTTTGATATTAACAATTCTGAAAAGGCCATAGTATTTCCCTGTGTTTCCTGGTAACTTTTTTCTACTTTTGGCAACCTCAACTGCTAGTAATTCTTCACCTGAATCATTTTTGCTACCATTTCAGGTCATTTTTCATTCTTTTTTATTTTGCTCTATACTTTATCATTTAAGATTAGGTTCTAGAAGTTACATATAACAGAAAACCCAAAGATAACAGTGGTTTAAACTAAATAGGAGTTTTTTTCTTACATAAAAGAAGTCTAGAAGTAGGTGGTGTCCAGGTTCCTATCTTTCTGCTCTGCTATCCTCAGTGCATGATTTTTATCCTCAGGTTACCTCACTCTCACTGTTCAAGTTTGTTCCTGGAGGCAGTGGGGAAAGCAAGAAACTGGACTTTCTCTGCTTGAGTCAGCTTCCCTGAGGCCATTTTCCAGAACCAGTAGCACCTGAACTTATGTCTCGACCAGAACTGGGTCACACTGATGGCCACACCTAGCTGCTAGGGAGGCTGAGAAGTCCATGTGGCAATGTGACCAGCTAAAAGTTGGGTTATTTTACTAAGGAAGAAGGGAAGAGGGAATGTTTGGTAGGCAACTTTCAATTTGAACCTCAGCCAAATTGAAAGGCTACCTAAATTTCTATGTACCATCTTCTTCCGAGATAGAAAACACTCACCCCTCTCTCCCTGAAGAGAAACCACCAGAAATCCAGCCCATTATTGCATATTAGATGGAAGACCATGCTATCTGGACACAGTCCCCTCCGTCATGTTAGGGTGTGGCGCCTTGTGTTCTGGCCACCTACAAACTGAAAGACAAGTTTTCTGCCCCAAGAGTGCCAGATGCATAATGCAAAGGTGCAGGAAAACTCACTTTGAAGCTTTTTAGAGACAGGGTCTTACTGTGTTGTCTGGTCTAGAGTACAGTGGTGTGATCATAGCTTACTGCAGCCTTGAACTCCTGGGCTCAAGTGATCCTTCCACCTCAGTCTCCCTAGTAGCTAGGACTACAGGCACACGCCACGAACACCTGGCTAAACATTTTTTTTGTAGAGATGAAGTATTGCTACGTTGCTCAGGCTGGTCTTAAACTCCTGGTCTCAAGCAATCTTCTCCCCTTAGCCTCCCAAAGCACTGGGATCACTTGGTGTGAGCCACCATGCCCAGGACCCCTAAAATTGATCTTTTAGAAAAGGGGAGAATTAGAAATACAGTGGCCACTGATCCATAGCAATTGGAAAGTACTGCTTGGCAAAAATAATTAAATCTCTCTGCTATAGTTCATGAATATATTCCTTGGTTTGCCTATCAGGCAACCCCTGATTCACCTTTCTGAGAGGAATTCCTTTATCTAATGTCCTCAGGGGGCCTTGGTTTTACTTTCTGGGTGGTTTTTATTGTACATTAATTTTCAGACACAGTCTGCATGGGCATTGGAAAGTATATCCTTCTTGGAGGCTGGGCAGCCTTAGCAGTTTATTTCCTATAATTGTGAGTCTGGGGGCAGGCTTAGGAATTAGAGTATAGATCTGTAACAGTATAGATCTGTTGCAGGCCAGGTTTGGGTTTTTGTTGTTGTTTTGTTCTGTTTCTTGGCCAAGTGGATTCCTAAAAATTTAGTAAGTTTCTGGTCTGTTGTCTTCAGTCATTTCCATGGACAGTTTTAACCAAGGTAAAATACATTGTTTTTAACAAAGAACCTCATCATTTACTTGCTGGCCTCTGTGTGCTCTCCATCATCTTTGTTCTCACAGGAATGGTACCTCCTTGAGATCCTTTGAAACTGTAGGCTTGCATGGAATGGCAATAGTCTTAATCTGGTCTCTTCCCCTAGGATGGCTCCTATTATTTGGCAGAAAATTCTAAGGGAACGTTCTTGAAAAAGGTTGAGAAAGTTTTAGTAGCTCCCTCAGAGCCTTTACTTCTAAATGTTTCACTTTGGAGTACAGTAGTGCTTGACTTTTTCAATTCTTCAGGGCTCCAGATTTGGGTCTTGGTCAATTTATATGGTAGACAAAGAGCAATTCTCTCAGCAAAGCTATTTTCCCTTGCATCACTGCAGACGTGTTAACCTTAGTCCAAGTCACATATCTCTTTAGGGCTTTGCTGAAAAGAGGCAAGAAGCAGCCAACACATGCTAGCACTCTGAAGTTCTACCACCTTCGTCTCTGTGGCAGGAAGTCTCAACCTCATCTTGACCTCTGTTGGCAAAAGTCTCACTGCCCAAAGCCCTACCTCCTCAACTAAGCCAACCCCAGATTTAGGGCCTTTGACTTGCTGCGCCTTACTTCTAGCTGCCAAATTCTGTATAGGTCAAGATTCTTGGCTGTAGGCAATGAAATCTTCTTTAGGTATTAAACAGAAGGAATTGGTGAATGAGTATAGATAGGTCACAGAATCGATGGGAGGGCTGAGGAAACAGACCTAGGCTGAGCTTCTAGGAATTATGTCACAAGAGTAGGCTGCTGAAGGAGTTGCCGCTTTTAGAACAATCAAGAAGCTGCCTGCTGGATTAGGAAGCTGCCTGCTGGACTAGGAAGCTGTGAACAGTTGCCAGTTCCAGAGCTACACCACCTCTGCCATTCTTTATGCCAGCAAAAATAGATACATGTCTTCCTGCCTCTGTCCCCATGTTACTTGGTTCTAAGTAAAAGTCTCAAGTGAGTGAATCTGATGGACTGGACCAATCATATCTGAAGCCCTAGCTGCAAGGGAGGTTGGGAAATATAATGTTCAACTTTCCTACCTCTGTGTGATAGGAATGCATGTTAAAAGTACCCTAGGCTGGGCGTGGTGGCTCACGCCTGTAATCCCAGCACTTTGGGAAGCCAAGGTGGGTGGATCACCTGAGGTTAGGAGTTCAAGACCAGCCTGGCCAACATGGTGAAACCCCATCTCTACTAAAAATAGAAAAATTAGCTGGATGTGGTGGCGCACACCTATAGTCCCAGCTACTCAAGAGGCTGAGGCAGGAGAATTGTTTGAGCCTGCGAGGTGGAGGTTGCAGTGATCTGAGATCACGCCACTACACTCCAGCCTGGGCCACAGAGCAAGACTCTATCTCAGAAAAAAAAAAAAAAAAAAAAAGGCTGCCCTAGCACCTCACAAGTTTACATTGTTTCACATAATAATTTTTAAACTCTTAGTCCTTATTTTATAGATTTTTAGATAATCATTGCATATTCCTCCAAACATACTTAAATAATGGATCCCAAAATTAAATAGCAGTTTAGGAAAGTTATATACAGCTTTACAAAACCTACAAAAACCACTCATGTAGTAATAGTGCTTGCTATGTTTTTTAAAGAAATGGAATAGAATCTCTATTGCTTAAATTATAAGCAATAGAATATCTATATTGCTTAAATTGTAAGCAATATAGAAAAATGGTTTGGAATATCCTTTTGTTGATGACTACTATCTGTGACATGAAACTGATAAGACATTCTTTTGGGTAAACGTTTAACTACAGTTGGTAAACTGTGGTTAAATCAGGAATTAATAGGAAGAAATAGAGTAATTTCTTGAAATGCTTTTTTGGCTCGAGTAAATGATGGATATTAATGTAGAAATATTTCACAGTTTCCAGCAAACTAATATAATTTATATTATTCAGAAAAGAATTACTAAGCCTAAAATTATGGATTAAGGAATTATAATTTTTTTGAGTACTGGGCATTTATGAATGAATATTATTATTATTATTTTTTGAGACAGAGTCTCACTCTGTCACCTAGGCTAGAGTGCAGTGGCGTGATCTCGGCTCACTGCCACCTGTGCCGCCTGGGTTCAAGCGATTCTCCGGCCTCAGCCTCCCGAGTAGCTGGGATTACAGGCACCTGCCACCGCGCCCGGCTACTTTTTGTATTTTTAGTAGAGACGGGGTTTCACCATATTGGTCAGGCTGGCCTTGAACTCCTGACCTCGTGATCCACCCACCTCGGCCTCCCAAAATGCTGGGATTACAGGCATAAGCCACCGTGCCCGGCCTATTATTTCTAAGTTGCAAACAGTATTCTTTTCAGTTCTGTTAGAAAGTATTGGTCTTGTGTTTATACCATTCTTCATATTTCTTTAGTTATTAAATGTCTTTGGTTTAGCTGAGTTAGTGAAATTTATTAGTAATTTGAAGTTTTGTTTCACATATGAATTTTCATGAAGCATGTGCATTTTATAATATATACTTAAGTAGAGGCTGAGCATTCCTTATCCACAGTGCTTGGAACCTGAAGTGTTTTGGATTTCGGATTTTTTTTGTGGCTGGAATTACAGGCGTGAGTCACTACACCCAGCTAATTTTTGTATTTTTAGTAGAGTCAGGGTTTCACTATGTTGGCCAGGCTGGTCTCAAACTCCTAACCTCGAGCGATGTGCCTGCCTTGGCCTCCCAAAGTGCTGGGATTACAGGCGTGAGCCACCACGCCCAGCCTGCATTATACTTTTATTGGTTGAGCATCCCAAATCTAAAAATTAGACATCTGAAATGAGCATTTCCTTTGAGCATCATGCTGGCACTCAAAAAGTTTTGGATTTTGGAGCATTTTGGGTTTCAGAATTTTGAATTTGAGAATCTCAAACTGTATATATAATTAAAATTAGATTTTGAAGGATTAGTCTCTAGAATATTTAACTCTTACTAAAGACAACTACAATTTAGAAGTAGTGGTAAAAAAAATACTCTGAGACATAGATACATGTTTTTTATGCCAAGATTTGTTTACAACAGCATTATTTTATGTACGTTGAACAGAATAGTATTACAATAAGATTAAATGCAAATCTTTCTCAGGAAAAATATAAAGAAAATTATAAAATGTTTTTGATAACATGATTTTTTTTTCTTTTAGAGATGGGGTCTCTCTTTGTCATCCAGGCTGGAGTGCAGTGGTGCCATCATAACTCACTATAGTCTCGAACTTCTGGGCTCAAGCAATCCTCCTGTCTCAGCTTCCTGAATAGCTGGGACTCTAGGTGTGTGCTTCCATGCCCGGCTAATTTTTAAATTTGTTGTAGAGATGGGGTTGCTATGTTGCCCAGGCTGACTTCAAATTCCTGGCCTCAAGCAGTCCTCCTGCCTCAGTCCCCTAAGTTGCTGGGATTAGAAACATGAGTCATTATTCCTGGCTGTTAATGTGATTTTTAAGAGAGGGGTTAAAAAAATCTGTTAACTTAGAATAAAGTTTTGACAATCCGGGTTCTGGTTAGTGCGTAAGTTTTCATCTTTGTTTTATAGCCGTGAAGTACAATCAAGAAGAAACTGAAAAAGAGCCAGAGTTAGATGATGAGCTTCATCGTTGTCATGCAGGATTTTTATCCCCTGAAGAACCTGCTAGAGAAGTCCACCTTCACCCTTAACCAGTGGTGCCTCAACTTAATACTTTTAAAATTCATTTGTTTCTTTTGGAATTGGGATACTAAGGTGTGTTAAGTAAAATACAATATTTACTTTTTCATTCCTTATGAGTGACAAAATGTCTGCTTTTGAGGTATGGGATTTGAAGGAAATCAGACCTTTCCTTTATTTTTATTTATTTATTTATTTATTTTTTGACACAGAGTTTCACTCTTGTTGCCCAGGCTAGAGTGCAATGGCTCACTGCAACCTCCACCTCCCAAGTTTCAAGCAATTCTCCTGCCTCAGCCTCCCAAGTCACTGAGATTACAGGTGCCTGCCACCACACCCGGCTAATTTTTTGTATTTTTAGTAGAGATGGGGTTTCACCATGTTGGCTAATCTGGTCTCAAACTCTTGACCCCAGGTGATCTGCCCATTTCAGCCTCCCAAAGTGCTGGGATTACAGGCATGAGCCACTGTGCCCGGCCTTTTCCTTGATTTTTAAAAAGACATAATATCATTAGTAGAATTCTAATCTTTTTCTACCCACTTTTTAATTTATTTAAAAAATAAGTTGTTAGCTATGAATTAGTAACCATTTCTTTAAAAGTCTTAAGAACTGAGCCAGAGAAAGCAGCATCAGCAAGTGGTGAAGACACTAAATTGAAAAATGTGCATGTATTGTTTCTAGTACTGCCAACCTGTTTAATGTGACAAAAGCAAATCAAAAGCAATCAAACTTTTGATTTAGTTTTAGAAATTTAGATTTTTTCAAATATTGCTCATAGAATTATGTAGAAAAACAATTATATTTCATGTTTATAGATATATATAATTTTCACAGAAAAGCTTTTAGTTTATATTTTAATTGATGTCAGCCATGCTCTTGATGATCCTGTATGCCATGTAGCAGTTTGATTGTCAGCTGGCCCTTGACAGTGTACTTCTCTTTCTGTGCTCCACCCTCTGGTTACCATCAAAGCTCTGCATGCCTGTGTCAACAAGTTTTGTTTTACTAATTGTTTATAATCAATTGCAGTTAATAGTTTAAGTTTTGCTGGGAAAATTTGCTTACCTCTTTTTATTATTTTATAATTAGTAATATATTTCCCAAGCCTTTCCAGATTTATGAATATATACTTCAGAATTAAAGTGTTACAATATTTATTTTACAATTCTTATAATTTTGGCTACTCCATATAATTTTTATTTTCATTTTATTTTATTTATTTATTTTTTTGAGACAGAGTCTTGCTCTGTTGCTCAGGCTGCAGTGCAGTGGTGTGATCTCGGCTCACTGCAACCTCCACCTCCCAGGTTCAAGCAATTCTGTCTCGGTCTCCCAAGCAGCTGGGACTACAGGTGCATGCCACCACACCTGGCTAATATCACCATGGTGGCCAGGCTGGTCTTGAACTCCTGACCTCAGGTGATCCACCCACCTCGGTCTCCCAAAGTGTTGAGATCACAGGTGTAAGCCACCATGCCTAGCCTATTTTTATTTTTATTTTTATTTTATTTTATTTTTGAGACGGAGCCTCACTCTGTTGCCCAGGCTGGAGTGCAGTGGCACGATCTTGCCTCACTGCAGTCTCCGCCTCCTGGGTTCAAGTGATTATCCTGCCTCAGTCTCCAGAGTAACTGGGACTCCAGGCATGTGCCACCATGCCCAGCTAATTTTTGTTTTTTCAGTAGAGACAGCGTTTTGCCATGTTGGTCAGGCTGGTCTCGAACTCCTGACCTCAGGTGATCCACCTGCTTCGGCCTCCCAAAGTGCTGGGATTACAGATGTGAGCCACCGCGCCTGGCTAATGTAATTTTTAAATGAGTAATGATTTATTTTCTACATGATTTCAAAGTTATGACTAGTCCAAGTGATTTAACAGTGAGAGAGAAAAAAATAAAATTGTATCTAGTTCTCTTTGCTATCTCCCATGAATCATTGCATTTAACATGTTATTTCTGTTCAATTTTAGTTCATTTTCAGTGTGCATTTTTAGTGATATCACAGTATGTGTCATTTAATTAAATCCCTGCCCTTGCTTTAGATTTTCTGTGCATGGGGTATGAGGCACATGTGCAGTCTGTGCCATGTTGTATTTGTTTCATGTTGCTTGGCCTATTTTGCTTCCATGCTGACCTCCATTGTTAAGGTGATTTGGAGTTGTTTTACTTTTGAATTTTACCCATTCTGTTCATGGTGTGACAACTTTCTAAATATTTCCTTATTGAAGTAGTGATGTATAGATGATTTCCCTTTTAAAACGTATTTACAATGTCCTTTAATGTTTTAAACAATTTTATGGAGGTATTTATTGAAGCATTTCTATCAAACATGACCATTTAAAATCCCTATCAACTTTGTGTAGTGATTCTTGTTCTATGACATTTAGTAATATGATCTTAGAATTTGCATCTTAATTTTTTTCTAACTAAATCTCAGTCCTAATCCTGTATCATTTTTTGTTTCTTTTGATATGTGTGTGTATTTATTCTCTTTGATGTTCATAGTATGTTTCATTGAGATTCAAGGTTGATTTTTTTGGGGGAAAAAAGTAGCTTTGCAGAAAAGTCCGTTTTTCTAGAGCTAGTTAGGCAGGCCCTCATTCCTGGTTTGGTTTCAACTGCAAAGAGTGCTTGTATCGCAGGAGAATTTCTGACTCATGGGGTGGGTCCCTGGCTCTTTACTCCTCTCTGATAGAGTGAACTAGCATCTGGGGCAAATACATAGCAGTCAGATGCTCTGATGAATGTCCCTGTTCAGTTCTTTGACTTTTTCGTATCCTCCTTAAATAATAATGGTTTTAAAGATAAGCAGAAACCTATCTATAGTAGGTTTCATAGATCTTCATAGTATAGTACTTCATAGATCTCAGCAGGCATTATTCATCTTACAGTTAATACAGGAAGAAACATCTTTGATACGGAAAGACTAGGGCATGAATTCAGCAATTCCTGGTTAGGAGAAAAGTAGCCTAGTTTATTAATTCTTCACTACTTTTGCGTGGATGACCTGAGTTTTAATCAAGTTCTTTCCTCTCTATAGGCACTCCCCCATTTTCCCACTTTTGTATTGATCTTCCCACTATTGTATTTCTAATGCACCTTCTTAATCACTGGAGAAAGCTTTTGAGGCATGTAAGAGGTCCTAGCACCATTTTCAGTCTCAAAGTTTCATAGCCACTGGCTTTATGGGACTCTATTATCAGGCCTTGCAAACAAATTTGTCCCTTCCCTCACAATCCCAAGCTATTCATCTTTTCTCTAAGGGAGCCTTTTGTATTACTAATTAAGACTAGGTGACTATATTAAAACAGAGTTATCTTCTAAAAGATTTATATAAATGATAAAACAGAGGCTAAGTATTTTTGTAAGGACAGCAATTTGAAGTCAGTTAATGCCTAGAGTGACTGTTTCGTTCTTCTGCTATGGCTCTGGTGACTTCCTGATAATTCTGTCCAAGCCCCTGTATCCAGTTCCAGGACCTAAGAATGGAAGAGCTCTGGAGGCTGAAGGTAGAAGACGGAGCCCCCTTTCAGTGACAGTGAAAGGGGGTTAATCTTTCCTGAAGCTGTTAGTCTGGTATCTATTAGCACACATGAAAATTAGAAACTTGCAGCTTTAGAAATAGTATCTGTGTAGTAAATGCTGTCTGTGTACCAATTTGTATAGCTTTTAATAGAAAGATCTTTTTGGATGGAAAATGTGTGTAAGCTTGTGACTAAAATAGTTCTGGATGGAAGACCATTCAGTATCTTCTGGAAAAAAAATTGTCCTCTGGAACTAAAATATGAAAAAAAAAAAACCAAAACCCTATCCATTATTGCTTTTTTTTTTAATGAAGAAAACCAGTGCTGCATAATCCACATTTTACCAGTATTAATTATGTCTTAAAACCATTTAAGAATGATGGTTTACATATCCTATTTTAAAGTCAGAATTTTAAAGAATTTTATTTGTTATTACTAATTATTGGGAGAATATTAAAATTTTTTCAATTTAAATGTTGAATTAAAAATGTAAGCTTTTCTGCTGGGCGTGATGGCTCACGCCTGTAATCCCAGCACTTTGGGAGGCCAAGATGGATGGATCACGAGGTCAGGAGTTCAAGACCAGCCTGGCCAAGATGGTGAAACCCCATCTCTACTAAAAATACAAAAATTAGCCGGGCATGGTGGCAGGCATCTGTAATCCCAGCTACTCAGGAGGCTGAGGCAGGAGAATCGCTGGAGGCCGGGAGGCGGAGGTTGCGGTGAGCCGATACCGCACCACTGCACTATAGCCTGGGTGGCAGAGCGAGACTCCGTCTCAAAAAAAAAAAAAAAAAAAAGATAACTTTTTATAAATATGGGGCTAAAAACGTTGTTATTTTTAAATTTTGGAAAAAGTTTTGCTAGCTTGAAGATTACTTAGATTTATTTTTTCTTATTTAGATATTTGGCCTATTTTTAAAACTATAAATAAATAATTGGACTTCGATAGAGAATCAGAAAAACAGGACTTTATATCATTTTTGTTACATTTGAATTCATTTTATAAATATATATTGTAAAAATTCTTCCAGTGCAATATTTTTTGGAAAATATTGTTCTAGTCGTTGTTTGTATAGGTTTATTTGTAATTATATTAAAAGTAAAATTAGAAAAATATGTAATATTTGTTGTAATTTTCTGGGGAAAAAGATTTGACAATGTTAATAGAATGGATTATTTGTAAAACACCAACATTAGACAGTCATAGAGCCTGAGTAAGGGCTTAGATATTATCTTCCAATGAAGGAACCCGTTCTCCAGCATAGCTAGTAAGTGGTTATCCACCTCCTGCTTCAAGTCTTCCAGTGATAGCATTGAAGTGGAAATCACAGTGGTTTCCAGGCTTGTATGCATATTGAAATCACCTAAGAGATATAAAAAATATTGGTACCTGGGTCCCATCTCCAGGTGATTCTAATATGCAGACAAGTTTGGGAACCAGTGGCAAATCATGTAGAAAAGCACCTCACTCTTTTTCAACATTAGAGAATCCATAATGGAGAGGAAACCTGGCTGATGTTATGAAGAGTCTAATAAGCATTTAGATGTCATTGAGAGCATTTATAACCACACTCCCTACCCTCCAGTGTTGTATGATAAATAAATATTTCCATTTAAATTCAAGAACCATTTAATAAGATAGCACATTGACAGAGTCCATGATGTTGGTATAGTGGAAAGTCCTGGACTGGGTGTTAGGAGTTTTAGCTGCCCAACTTTAAGTAATTTTAGCCTTACAAAAAATTTGCAAAAATAGTATAAAGAATTCCCATATGCCCTTCATCTAGCTTCCTCAAATATTAACATGTTATATAACTACAGTAAAGGTATTACAATCAGGAAATTAACATTGATACAATTTATAAACTAATCTGCAAATTTTGCCAGTTACTCTACTATAAATCTTTTCTGTGCTAAGATCCAATCTGGGATCACACATTGCATTTATTTTTGTATGTGTTTGTTATTTTGAAAAAAATCATTGCAACAATAGTATAATGAATTTGTGAACCCTGAAAATTTGAGACAGGTCTCAGTTAATTTAGAAAGTTTATTTTGCCAAAGTTGAGGACATGGCCATGACACAGCCTCAGAAAGTCCTGACGACATGTGCCCAAGGTGGTCGGGGCACAGCTTGGTTTTATACATTTAGGGGGATGTGAGACATCAATCAATATATGTAAGAAGTGCATTGGTTTGGCCTGGAAAGGCAGGACAACTTGAAGCAAAGGCAGGAAGGCTGTAAGTGTGGTGGGAGCTTCCAGGTCACGGGTGATACACAAAGGGTTACATTCTTTTGAGTTTCTGATTTAGAGTTTCTACCTTTCCAAAGGAGGCAAGTCAGATATGCATCTATCTCAGTGAGCAGAGGAGTGACTGAATACAACGGGAAGCAGGTTTGCCCTAAGCAGTTTTTCAGCTTGAGTTTTCCTTAGTGATTTTGGGGGCCCAGAATATTTTCCTTTCACAAATTCTAGTATACCTTGCTTTCACTCTTTCTGTCCAATTCTTTGTTTGACTGAAGCATTTCAGAATTAAGCTGCAAACATTGTGATCCCTTACCCTAAATATGTGAGTGAGCATCTCTTATGAACAAAGATTTTTTTTCTCATAACCATCATATAATTATCCAATTTGGGAAACTTAACATTGTTACAATACTATTAATCTAACGTATAGTCCATATTCAAATTTTACCAATTGTCTCAATACTGTCCTTTATAATAATTTTTTCATGATCCAGGATTTGTGTGTTGGATTTTGTTGTCAGGTCTCTTTAATTTCCTTTGATCTGGAATGGCTCCTCAGTTTTATTTTGTCTTTCATGACATTGCCATTTTTTGAGTACAGGTCATTTGTTTTATAGAATGGCTCTCAATCTGCATTTGTCTAGACTGGTTTTTCTCACAGTGTGGTCTGTGACTGGTGCTGGTCTACGCCTGGCTGTTACCTAATGGTGAGGAGGCCAACCAACATTACTCATGATATTGGAAACTTTTATAGCAATTCAAAAATAATTTTATGTCTGTTGAATCTAAGAATAAAAATTGAGGGCTTGTATTTTTATGTCTTTTTATTTCATTTCTCTAGTAATTCATTTTTATTTTACAAAATGACAGTTCTTCATGGGTTGGACACTTATTTTTTATTTGTATTTACTTTCATTTTTTAGAATTAAAAAAAAAATAGTAGAGACAGGATCTTGCTATGTTGGCCAGTTTGGTCTTGAACTGTTGCCCTCAAGCAGTCCTCCTGTCTCTGCCTCCCGAAGTGGATCAGCCAGCATGCCTGGCCAGGTTGGACACTTTTAAAAAGAGTCCTTCACCACAGCTACTTGGAACAACACTGGTCTAGAATGAGATGTGTTTTGTTTTTGTTTTTTGTTTTGTTTTGTTGTTGTTGTTGTTTTGAGACAGGGTCTCTGTCACCCAGGCTGTAAAGGCATGAGCCACCACACCCAGCAGAAAGCTTTTCTTATACTGAGCCAAAATCTCTCTCCAACTTGCTTTTGCCTTCAAGAACATCACCTAACATGTACTCACATACGTAGGTATTTGCTTTTCAGAGACTTACAAGACTGGTACCATGTCTTAAACCCCCAGGCTACTCCAAGCAAAACGGGCTCAGCTCCTTTACTCATTTGTAGTGATTAGGATTAGGTTCCGCTGAAAATGAGAACATTTTAAATAAGAGTAGCATACTGACTTTGCTTCCTATGTTCCACAGATCCAGAAGTGTCATTCTAAAGCTGGTAGAGGTTTCACGAGTCATCAGGGACCCAGAACCCTTCTCTTTTGCTGTCCCCTTGTCCTAGTGCATGGTTTCCACGTTGTGGTGCAAGATACCTGCTCAAGCTCTAGGCATTACATCTGCTATCCTGCTGTCATATAAAGGAAGGGGAAAAGAAGATCATTTTCCTTCCCTTTAAGGACATTTCCCAGAAGTCACACAGAACATTTCCATTTATATTACTTTGGCCAGAACTTGGTCATATGGCCACATTTAGCTCCAGAGTGGTTAGGAAATGCAGTCTTTTATTTTGGAGATCCCTGTGCCCAGGATAACATTGGAGGCCTTTTTCAAGGAAAAAGGGGAAAATAGATATTGGTTGACAAATAGCAGTCTCTGCCATACTGTCCCTGGATACATGCCTTTGGGTGAATGTCCCTTATTTACCATTCTGATTGCTTGTTGGATATTTTCAATGTGTGTTACAATATGGTTCCAAAATTGTATGTGATATGCCAACAGCAAGTTGGATGTAATGTGTCATATAAATGACCTCAGTGTCAACCAGCATTTGAATACTGTGTCTCAATACTATGCACCAATAAAGAACATAGAAAGTCAGAGGTTTCCATAAATAATTCCTGAGGATATATGCTTGTTTTGTTTGAGAAGCATCGTGAGGCATCTGCTGTGTGCTTTAGGGTTGAATGAAAAGTTGGCAAAAGTATTAAAAGACATGTTCAGGCTGGGCGTGGTGGCTCATGTCTGTGATCCCAGCACTTTGGGAGGCCGAGGTGGTGGATCACTTGAGGTCAGGAGTTTAAGACTAGCCTGGTCAACATGGTGAAACCCTGTCTCTACTAAAAATACAAAAGTTAGCCGGGCGTGGTGGCAGGCACCTGTAATCCCTGCTACTTGGGAGGCTGACGCACAAGAATCTCTTGAACCGGGGAGGCAGAGGTTGCAGTGAGCTAAGATCGCGCCACTGCACTCCAGCCTGGGCAATAGAACGAGACTCTGTCTCTCTCTCTCTCACACACACACACACACAAAAAAAGATGTATTCAGATAGATGTGATATTAGTAAAAACGAAAACACAGGTAATGACTTTTCATTCTAACGAAATATAAATGGAGAAACCTGCCAGTTTTACCCTTTAGAGTAAAAAGGGTACCAAAAAATTACCAAAACAGTAAAATTACCAAAAGAGTAATTTGATAATTTCTACAGAGTCACGTGTATGTGTCACAACTCTGTGAATCACTATTCTGGGCATGTATAAGGAGTCATCATATACCTCCATTGGGAATGTTATTTAATGATGTCACTAATACCAGACAAGGATGTCTCCTCAGGTAAGGCTCCTTGGAGGAGGTAGAGGTTGAGAAGAGGTATAATTTAGGTTTTTAAAATGCAATAGCCAGACTTAACCTTGCACATCTCTACCTGTTACAATGGTGGTCCGGAAAGCTGCAATCTGAAGGCCCCTCAGCTAGTTGCTGCCACTGTGGGCCCTCTGCGCCTCTCTCACTTCTGGGCTCTTTATGCATGTACTCTGTTCTGCAGATAAGTGAGGATGTGACTATTTGCTTAGTCAGTGACAGTATCTCTAACCCTGCTTTTTCTCAGTTTTAGAGATGTGTAAATAGGCTGGGGATATGAGGTCACTTACCCACTGTCCTATAATCAGCAGATGGCATGACTGGCATTGGAGTTTAGGTCTGTCTGTGCTTTTCTGTACATTCCATCCTTTTTAATGATGCGAAGGAAAAATGCAGTCGGGTCAATGAGACAAATGGAATGCAGGTTGCTGGGGAAAGAATGCAGGTTGTGCGTTACAAATGCACACACTTTACAGTGCCACTTGGGTTCTGAACTTTGCGGTTAAATTGATTTAAAAACTGATCTAGAGGTGGTAAAACTTAAACAGCGAATGAAAATATTTGGGTTTGCTTCAGGAGGTCGCAAATCACTTCTTGGTTAGTAGAAATGGGAAATGAAGGGCCACCTTCAGGCGTTTAACTGAATTGTCCAGGGGATTTAATCTGGCTTTCGACTCAAGTAATGCTAAGGTTTTGTTGCTTTTGGTTTTTAAAGTAATGTAAGTTTATCGTGCCAACGGTAAGATATCTCTCTGGACGCGTGCACCTGCTCTCGCAATCACTGACTGCGGTCAGCATCCTCCTTAGAGCAGCGCCCCGGGCCACTTGGATCCCGGCCTCAATTTACTAAGCGAACTCAGAGGATGCCCAGAGTCCTGGACTGCAGAGCCGCTCGCGAGAGGCACCGGGGCTGTAACCGCGCAACCTCGTGCCGTGGGCGGGGACGAGGGAGGCTTCCCCAGCCGGTGCGCGCCCTGGCGCGAAAGTGAGGCGCGGGCGGGGCTGGTCACGCGCCTGGCTTCCTGCAGTGCGAACCCTGGAAATCCAGGCGACTTCGCAGTTGCCGAAGGGACCCGAAGAAGTGGGATGTGCAAAAGCGCCGGCTGGAAATCCCGGCTGTGTCTGCGTCAACTCTTTACCCAACAGAGGGCTCCCCCGGCCCTTGGTTTTTACCGGGCCGCCTGCTCCCACTCGGCGAAAAAAATTCCAGAGCGGCTGCCGTGGCGATGGCGTGGATGGCTGCCTTCTCCGCGTGCGCGGCGCTCCTGCTTCCGTGGTGCCCACTGATGACCGCAGGTAGGGGGCGGCTGGGGTGGACTGGGGTGGGCTGGGGTGGAGGCGGCTGGGGTGGGCTGGGGTGGAGGCGCCTGGCGCCAGAGGGTCCTCGCGGTCGGCTCCCTAGCGCCCCTCCAGGGGACCGCGACGTCCTGGGGGCTGGGGGCTCTATTTTCTTTTCTTTTTCTTTTCTTTTCTTTTCTTTTTTTTTTTTTTTTGAGACGGAGTGTCGCTCTCGCCCAGGCTGGAGTACGGTGGCGCGACCTCGGCTGACTGCAAGCTCCGCCTCCCGGGTTCACGCCATTCTCCTGCCTCAGCCTCCCGGGTAGCTGGGACTACGGGCGCCCGCTACCACGACCGGCTAATTTTTTGTAGTTTTAGTAGAGACGGGGTTTCATCGTGTTAGCCTAGATGGTCTCGATCTCCTTGACCTCGTGATCCACACACGTCGGCCTTAAAAAGTGCTGGGATTACAGGCGGGAGCTACCGCGCCGGGCCTGGAGGCTCTATTTTCAAGCACCTCTCCTTTGTGAGATGCGGAGTCCCCGATGCAACAGGTTTATATTGAAGGCCTGCCCTGTGCAGGGTCGGCACTTGTGCGAGCGGAAACGGTGCTTCCTTGGATGTCGCGCGCTCGGTGCCTCGGTAATCTGCGCCTCTCTTGCATCATCCGAGGGGTCGGAGCAGAGAAGAAAATCAGGGAATGGGGAAAATAGGAAAATGATTCACCCGCGTATCAGTGGGTCCTCCTGGCTTTGCTAAGTAAGGTCTTTACTGAGAGAGGGAGGGGAGTGTTTTGATCTTGAGGTGACCTTCAAAAGTCCTCTTACTTTTTTGGGAACTCGTATGGGAATGTTCTGCGTTAACTTAAACAGGAGACTACAAGGCTGAAACGCGTATGTAGAGATATTTAAACTCATTTCTAATTAGCAAGAATGGCAATTAAACAACAAGATGCTGCTTGACCCTTACTTACTAGGCTGGCCACAATACGCTCCTGGGTACCAGGTGCTGGAGGGGGAATGTAGGAATCCCGGAGGCGCGTTCTGGGCGCCCCGAGTCACTGCAGGTGGAGGCGAACCGCGTGTGGACGTCACCGTGGAGCGCTGGGCGGCAGCTTCACACCACGCCCTTGCTGCTTGCCAAGCAGCGTGAACGGATGTTGAAGGCAAAGAGCCAAGCAGTGGACATACAATGTAATACCATTTCCACAGTTTGAGAAACAGAAGATACAGCCTTAAAGAGAACAAAAATGTATGTTAAACACCTTAGAATGACTGCCCAATGGGAGAGGGAAATGAAAATAAAAACGAGGGAATAGCATTTCTATACATTTCCAATGAGCAATGTGAAAATAAGACAGTTCCGAGTGAAGTGTGGGCGGCGACGAAAGCCAAATTTGCGCTGGACTTGGCGCTGGTGGCTGGAAGCGCCTCCACGCCCTCAGTCTGGGTCTCCTCGAGCTCGAAGTGGCGCCTGGGGGCTCCCGCCGCGCCCACCCGGTCCCAGGCCCGGCGCCCCCTCCTCAGGAGCCTCGGGTGCCAGCCACTTTCGTCCGGCCCCCGTCCCCGCGGATGCTGGCGGTGGTGGAGAAGGGCCGCGCGGTCTCGGAAGCGGAGAGGAAGGAACGCCGTTTGGCTGTGCGGCGGCGCTTTAGTGGCAGCAGCAGCAGCTCCTGGGAGGAAGCTAGTTCGGGCTCGTCCAGCCACGAGGAGTGAGGCGGCCGCTGCATGACGGTCGGACCCCAGAATCAGGCGTTGGTGCTGGACTTCGGCACCGGAAGAGACTGTGAAATTGAAAACCATCGGAAGCTTTCGCCTAACAAATCATTTCTGCCCACAAGAAATCCCTACACCTTAGAATGGAACATCTATTTCCCGGGCTGTTATTCTGTGTGGAAGCAAATTTAAAGTGGTACAAGAAAAAAAAAATCCAATCAGACAAAGGAATTCGTCAGATTTCAATGCAAGATATTCTAGCCCGTCTTTGTATGAGACTGTCTTTAAAGGTTGTTGATATAGAAAATGTTTTAAAGAACGTTAGGTTTTATTTCAGAAATGAAGTTCAAAAGAGCAATTTGTAAAGCTGTAGTTAACAATCCTCCCTGGTTGGAGGGCTCTAGAACGGGAGATTCTCTATGCAGGTTATACCACTAGTTGATTTGAAAAGATAAATGCATAGATTCTTTTCCTTGGAAACAAGACTGCAGAAAATTCCAAGGATCTAGTCCTTGAAAAAGGGGAATGCTCTTAAGCTGTTATTAAGGTACTAAACTCTGTACCTTTAAATGAAGATACATGGAGGTCCGGGGTGAGCGCTTGGGCGCTCTGAAAATAGACGGCGTTTCCCAAATTTGCCTTCTAAATTTTGATTTGTTGATTTAAATCTTTTAAATTTATGTAGTCTGGCACTCAGGTTTGTATTCCTTTTAAGCACATGTTAGTGTTTTGGTATTTTCCCCTCCCCCTCCGACCCCCCAATTCTTTTTTTTTTTTTTTTTTTTTGTAGTCTCTTTTCATTTGTAAGAGTGACAATAGAACTAGGTGGCCTGGCTATTTCTCTCGTATCCTTGGCTCCTCCATTCTTTGGTTGGCCACCAGGGGGAAGCATACTGTTTTTTGGTTACAGTTGACCCTATCTTCATTTTGTAGGTCAAGTCTGTTTTTGCCTTGATACATAGAACATAAAGTTTGTCACCATGTTTCCCTAATGCATTATTTTTAAAAATAGACTTGCACAAACCTTTGAGTAAGTTGGCAGGTTTTTGGATGCATTTTTTGTTAACATTAATTTTGAAAACTTTATTTAGATATGTTGGGTGTGACTAATGAAAGGACATGTTTGATGGCAACAAGGGGAATTCGGTTTCTGACATTTATCTAAATATTGATGTCTAGCTCTGCATTGTTAGTAATGAGTCTGACTTCTTTGGAGTTGCACTCTTCTTTGAAACAGCAAATGTAATATTTTGAACTGTCCTTGCACTTTTTGTTGGATTGGTGTAAGCGTAAACTTGCTGGCAACCTACTGTTCTAAAATAGAAAACATCTAGCCAGTCGCAGTGGCTCATACCTGTAATCCCAACACTTGAGGAGGCAGTGGGAGGATTGCTTGAGCCCAGGAGTTGGAGACCAGCCTGGGCAACTTAGTAAGTCTCCATCTCTACAAAAAATCAAAAAATTAGCTGAGCATGGTGGTGTGTGCCTGTAGTCCCAACTACTTGGGAGGCTGAGGCAGGAGGTTCACTTGAGCCTAGGAGGTGGAGGCTGCAATGAGCAGTGATAGCACCACTGCACTCCAGCCTGGGTGACACAGCAAGACCCTATCTCTAAATAAATAAATAGGAAAACATCAAAAAAAGAGAAAATTATCTTTACAATAGCATCAAAAAGAGTAAAATACTTATGAGCAAATTTAACAAAAGAAACAGAAAGTATATACTCTGGAAACTGTAAAATATTGCTGAAAGAAATTTATCTAAATAAATGAAATGGAAAAATGTCCTGTCTTAGTCTTGCCAGGCTACCATAACAGATATATATTGTGTGGCTTAAACAGAAATTTTTTTCTCGTGATTCTGGAGGCTGGGAAGTCCAAGATGAAGGTGTGGATGATCTGGTTTCTGGTGAGAGCCTCATTTCTGGTTTATAGAAGGATACCTTCTTGCTGTATCTTTACATGGGGGAGAGAGACATATCTCTCTGTCTTGTCTTCATTTGTTTATCTATCTATTTATTTATTTATTTATTTTTGAGACAGTGTCTCACTCTGTCATCCAGGCTAGAGTGCAGTGGCATTATCACAACTGACTGCAGCCTTGAACTTCTGGGTACAAGGGATCCTCCTACCTCAGCCTCCCAAGTAGCTGGGACTATGGGTGCTAACCACCATGCTGGGCTAATTTATTTTTATTTTTTTGTAGAGACAAGGTCCCATTATATTGCCTAGTCTGGTCCAGAACTCCTGGGCTCAAGCAATCCTCTGGCCTCAGACTCTCAAAGTGCTGGGATTATAGGTGTGAACCACCAGGCCCAGCCTCATGTCTTGTCTCTCTCTCTTTCTTTTCTTTTCTTTTCTTTTCTTTTCTTTTCTTTTCTTTCTTTCTTTCTTTCTTTCTTCTTTCTTTCTTTCTTTCTTTCTTCTTTCTTTTCTTTCTTTCTTTCTTTTTTCTTTCTTTCTTTCTTTCTTTCTTTCTTTCTTTCTTTCTTTCTCTTTCTTTCTTTCTTTCTTTTTTTTTTTTTTTTTTTTTTTTGAGACAGAGTCTCACTCTGTCACCCAGGCTGGAGTGCAGTGGCACGATCTTGGCTCACTGCAACTCTGCCTCCTGGGTTCAAGCAATTCTCCTGCCTCAGCCTCCTGAGTAGCTGGGATTACAGGCACCTGCCACCACACTTGGGTAATTTTTTGTATTTTTAGTGAGTAGTAGAGATGGGACTTCACCATGTTAGCCAGGATGGTCTCAATCTCCTGACCTCACGATCCGCCTGCCTCAGCCTCCCAAAGTGCTGGGATTACAGGCGTGAGCCACCGTGCCCTGCCTCATGTCTTTTCTTGTAAGGGCACTAATCCCATTCATGAGGACTCTCCCCTTATGACCTAATCACTTCCCAAAGGCCCTGCCTCCAGATACCATCACACTGGGAGTCAGGCCTCAATATGAATTTTGGAGGACTCCAGCATTCAGTCCATAGCACATCCCAAAAACGTGTTCATAAATTGAAAAACTGAACATTGTGTTCTCTTATTGCCACAGGTGATCTGAAAGTGGAGATGATGGCAAGGGGGATTCAGGCCACACGCCTGAATGACAGTGTTACCATATCCTGCAAAGTCATTTATTCCCAACCCCTCAACATCACTTCTATGGGTATCACCTGGTTTCGGAAGAGTCTGACATTAGACAAAGAAGTCAAGGTCTTTGAATTTTTTGGAGATCACCAAAAGGCATTCCGACCTGGAGCCAATGTGTCTCTATGGAGGCTGAAGAGTGGGGACGCCTCACTGAAGCTGCCTGGAGTCCAGCTGGAGGAAGCAGGAGAGTACCGATGTGAGGTGGTTGTCACCCCTCTGAAGGCACAGGGAACGGTTCAACTTAAAGTTGTGGGTGAGTGTCTCGGGGCAGTGCCCTATAGTTCCCATGGTGTTGGGGTTAACAACAACAAAACCCAAACACCTCTTTGAGCTCCACTTTCCTGTATTATGAAATGGTCTGATAATACGTGGATGAACTTGGTGGCTGTATTAGTTTGCTAAGGCTGCCATAACAAAATACCATTGACTGGGTGGCTTTAAACAACAGATGTTTATTTCTCACACTTCTGGAGGCTAGAAGTCTGAGATGAAGATGTCAGCAGGATTGGTTTTTTTCTGAAGCCTCTCTCCTCTGGCCATCTTCTCCCTGTGTCTTCACATGGTCTTTCCTTTGTGTCAATATCTGTGCCCTAATTTCCTCTTCTTATAAGGATACCAATCATATTGGATCAGAGCCCACCCGAATAACCCCATTTTTAACTTAATTGCCTCTTTAAATAACCTAGCTCTAAATACAGTCACATTCAGAGATACTGGGAATTCTGGGAGGACATAAGAATTTTAGGAGGATGTAATTCAGTCCAGCATGGACCCTCCATAATTGTACATAAGACTTTGAATGTTTTGTCTATAGTAATTTTGGGAGTGAGAGGCATATTAATTAGGATTCACTTCCTCTGCAACTGACAGAGGAATAACAGCGACAGTGGCTATATATATAGCCAACTGACGGTGGCCGTATATATAGCCACTGTTCTTCCAGGCTTTATATATCTATAGAAAGGGTCTACATAGGAGACAGGGTCTCGCTCTGTTGCCCAGGCTGGAGGGCATGGCACAATCATAGCTCACTTCAACTCCAGGGCTCAGGTGATCCTCCTGCCTCAGCCTCCTGAGTAGCCAGGACCTCGGGTGCATGCCACCACGCCTGATTAATTTTTACACTTTTGTGGAGATGGGGCCTTGTGTTGCCCAGGCTGGTCTCCAACTTCTGGCCTCAAGAGATCCTCCTGCCCTGGCCTCTCGATGTGCTGGCATTACAGGGATGAACTACCATGCCTGGCCAACAGTGGCTTTTAAAGACATTAATAGATTTTTTTTTTTTAAGGACAGTTTTGGATTTACAGAAACATTGCAAAAATAGTATGAGAGTTCTCATATCACTCTCATCTTGCATACCATTTCCCCTATTATTAATATCTTGTATTCGTTTGGTACCTTGATATAATTAATGAACCCATATTGACATTTTACTATAATTAAAGTCTGTAGTTTATTCCTATTTCGTTAGTTTTTACCTAATGTCCTTTTTCTGCTGTAGGATCCCATCAGAATACATTGCATTTAATTGTTATATGTTCTTAGGCTCCTTTTTGCTGTGACAGTTTCTTAGACCTTATTTTTGATGTCCTTAACAGTTTGGTGAGGGTATTGGTCAGGTATATTGCAAGATGTCACTCAATTAGGATTTGTCTGCTGTTTTCCTCATAGTTGGACTTGGGGTTATGGGTTTTTGGAGGAACATTGCAGAGGTAAACTGCCATTGTCATCACATCAAATCACATGACTTATGACTGTTGATGTTGACCTTGACCATGTAGTTGAAGTAGTGTTTGTCTGGTTTCTCTGCTGAAAAGTTACTCTTCCCCCTATTTTCATACTGTACTCTTTGAAAGGAAGTCACTCTGTGCAGCCCACACTTAAGGTGGGGGGTTACTTATGTTCTTCCTCCTTGGGGGTGGAGTATCTACATAATTTTTAAAAGAATTCTTCTGCATGGGAGATTTATCTCTTTTCTCCTATTTATGAATTTATTCAATCATTGATATCAGTAAGGACTCAAGGATATTTATTTTATACTTTGTGTTATAATGCAGTACTACTTTATTTTTTCTCAAATTGTTCCAGCTTTGGCCACTGGGAGCTCATTCACTTGGCTCTTGTGTCACATTGACATACCCCCATCATTGTAAGATTTTGTTTTATTTTATTATTTTATTTTTTGTTTTATTTAATTTTTGGCAAATCCATATCAAGGATTTTGTTTGATTTTAAGCACTTTTTACTTTTTGGCACTATAAGATGCTCCAGACTCATGTTGTGTATTTCCTGTCTTGTATATTTCCTGGTTCTAGTCCTAGAACCAACCAATACTCCAAGAAACTTTGGTTCCTTTTATTGGAAAATGATATTAGAAACCAAGACTAAGTACACTAAGTGTACTTTTTGCTACTGAGGTATCATTGGATTCTAGATCCTCTCAGCCAACAGAGCAAAGAAATATATGTATGTGTACTAACCTCTGCATATATACATATCTATAAATATTTCTATGTGTAACCATCTGTACCTATATTAAACATTTGTTCTCACTGATGTCTCCAACTTTAATCCATTACCACATAGATCCTTCTCTTGCTTATCTGTAAACTCCCACTCCAACAGTGAGAAACCTGTACCCACCATACTCTGTTTATTTGTTTAATTATTAACCTGTACTCCCGTAAGAAACAACTTTATCTACTAGAGTACAGTGCTTCTTGGCAATTCCTTTTTTTTTTTTTTTTTTTTTGGAGATTTATTTTGAGACAGAGTCTCGCTCTGTTGCCCAGACGGGAGTGCAGTGGTGTGACCTTGGATCATTGCAACCTCCACCTCCCAGGTTTAGGTGATTCTCCTGCCTTAGCCTCCCAGGTAGCTGGGCTTACCAGTGCCTGCCACCATGCCTGGCTAATTTTTGTATTTTCAGTAGAGACGGAATCTCACCATGTTGGCCAGGCTGGTCTTGGACTCCTGACCTCAGGTGATTTGCCCACCTCAGCTTTCCAAGTACTGAGATTACATGCATGAGCCACCACACCTGGCCCGGATTTTAGCCATTCTAGTAAGTATATAGTGGTATCTCATTTGTTGTTTTAATTAGCAGTTCCCTAATGACATAATGTTGGACATCTTTTCATGTTCTTACTTACCATTTGTATGTCTTGTTTTTGTGTGTGTTTATTGGTCGTCCAGGCTGGAGTGCAGTGGTGTGATTACAGCTCACTTCCCAGGCTCAGGTGATTCTCCTAAGTTTCAGCCTCCCAAGTAGCTAGGACTACAGGCACACATCTCCATGCCTGGCTAATTTTTGTATTTTTTGTAGAGATAGGGTTTTGTCATGTTGCCCAGGCTGGTCTTGAACTCCTGGGCTCAAATGATCTGCCTGTCTCGGCCTCCCAAAGTACTGGGAATTGTATGTCCTCTTTGATGAGATGTTTGTTCAGATTGCCTATTTTTTAACTGGGCTCATTTTTTAAATTGTTATGTTTTAAGAGTCCCTTGTACATTCTGGATACAAGCCTTTATCAGATAGATGTCTCACAAATATTTTCTCACAGTCTGTGTCTTGTCTTTTCATTGTCTTAACAATGTCTTTTGTAGAGCAGAAGTTCTTAATTTTAAAAAGTTGAACTTACTACATTTTTCTTTCATGGATCATGCTCTTAACATTGTATCCTAAAGCTCATCACCAAACCCAAGGCTACCTAGATTTTCTCCTGGTATCGTCTAGAAGGTTTATAGTTTTACCATTGACGTTTAGGTCTATGAGGCAGTTTACTTTAATTTTTGTGGAAAGTGTAAGGTTTGTGTCTATATTCTATATGCATTTTTTTTTTTTTTTTGCATATGAACACCTAATTGTTCCAGTATCATTTGTTGAAAAGACTGTCCTTTCTCCATTGAATTGCCTTTGCTTCTTTGTCAAAGATCAGTTGAATATATTTGTATGGATCCATTTCTGGCTTTCTATTCAGTTTCTTTTTTTTTTTTTTAAATACAGGCTGGAGTGCAGTGGCACAATCTTGGCTCACTGCAGCCTCTGCCTCCTGGGCCCAGGCAATCCTACCATCTCAGCCTTCCGAGTAACTTGTACTACAGGCTCATGCCACCACTCCCAGCAAATTTTTGTTATTTTTGTAGAGATAGAGTTTTGCCGTGTAGCCCAGGCTGGTCTGGAACTTCTGAGCTCAAGTGATCTCACCCGCCTCATTCTCCCAAAGTGTTGGGATTATAGGCGTGAGCCACCACGCCCTGCCCTATTCAGTTTCATTGATCTCTCTCTTCTTTCCCCCATACCACACTGTCTTGATTACTGTATTTTAGTAGTAAGTCTGGAAGTCAGGTAGTGTTAGTCCTTCATTTTTGTTGCCTTTCTTCAGTATAGTGTTAGCTCTCTGGGTTTTTTCTTTCGATATAAAGTTGATAATCTATTGATATCTGCAAAATAGCTTTCTGGGATTTTGATTGGGATTGCATTGAATCTAGAGATCAAGTTGGGAAAATTGACATTTTTTTTTTTTTTTTGAGGCAGAGTCTTACTATGCTGCCCAGGCTGGAGTGCAGTGGTACCATCTCAGCTCACTGCAACCTCTGCCTCCCGGGTTCAAGCAGTTCTCCTGTCTCAGCCTCCCAAGTAGCTGGGATTATGGGCATGTACCACCATGTGGCTAATTTTTGTATTTTTAGTAGAGACAGCATTTCACCAAGTTGGCCAGGCTGGTCTCAAACTCGTGACCTCAAATGATCCACCAACTTCGGCCTCCCAAAGGGCTAGGATTACAGGTGTGAGCCACTACACCTGGCCAGTGGTATTATATTTTTAATTTCAAATTCCAATTGCTCAATTGTTCATTCCTGTCAAGTAATTGATTTTTGCCTGTTAACTTTGTATCCTGCAACTTGCTTTAATCACTTATTCATTCCAGGGGTTTTTTTTTTGGCCAAGTCTTGAGATTTTTCTACATAAATCATGCTGTCTATGAAAAATACAGTTTTATTTCTTCCATTATTTTTATTTTATTTTATTTTGTTTTGTTTTGTTTTGTTTTGTTTTGTTATTTTAATAGAGATGAGGTCTCACTATGTTGCCTAGACTGATTTCGAACTCCTAAGCTCAAGTCATCCCTCCACCTTGGCCTCCCAAAGTGCTGGGATTACATTGTGTGAGCCACTGCACCCAGCCTCATTTCTTCCATTCTAACTTTATATCTTTTATTTCCTTTTCTTGTCCTGTTATTCTAGCTTAGACTT